AAAAAAAAAAAAAAAAAAAAAAAAAAAAGACAAGGCGAAGCTCTCGAATTGTTCTGATGCTAATTTATTGTGCCTAAAGGTCAGCATTTCTCAGAGTTCTTTCACACACAGAGATTTGTAGTGATTTGGGGAGTAGTGAAATGTAGCAGTGCAGTGATTTGATGGCATTTTGGTTCTGTAACATAAGCTCTTTGAATCAGACTAAACCAACATTTCTTCTCAAGCTCAACAAAGCACTCCATCACAGGAAARTGTTCTGCTGGCACTTGACAGCAGCCAGGGGTGCTTCCAGGCAGGCTGAGAATTAATGCCACTATGCAGAGGTCACGGGAACCACATTCTTTACTATCCTTTTTGCTGACTTCTAGTTCCTTCATGTGGGGCAATTAATGAAACAAAACAAACCAAATAGCCTTGCCTTAGAAGCAGAACTGTTTTGTTTTTTTTCCCGGTCCCTGAGACCTGGATTCTTCACTCAGGAGCAATGCTCCTTCTCAGTGAGGAACATCTGGCATTTGCTCAAAGACTGCACACCAGTTCTAGCCTGTACTAAACAGATGCTGCTGCTCTCACTGAATGCATTTACCTTGCAGCCACATGTCTGTGCTGGATCCATTTTACTTTGTTGTCAAATAGATGAGCCTGATGGGGCCACTCCTTATGCCATTGTTTCTTTTGTGGGGTCAGGCAGCAGTTTCTCAAAGGCAGGTGAAATCCAGCTTGAGGCTCCCACATGATCAGAATCCAACCTGGCACCCAAAGCASCACATTTTTCATAAAGTCAGAACAAACACAAACATAAACTCAGAACTGCTATATATCATATCCTTTCYCCTAAAACAGGATTCATGTTTGTGTAATGAGCCTTCAGTTATTATCTTCACAGAGACAATTTTATTATTAGAGATGCTTTCTGTGCCCAGGGAGAAAATCCAGCCACTGAAGAAAATAGGAGTTTTCCTTTGGGTTTTTGGGAAAGGTTTTTGCTCACATTACTTTTAAAGCGGATAGCAGATCAAGTTGTGACTTTGGAAGAAAGTTGTKTTTGTAACTCAGCAATATGCATTTTAAGAGTTGAGGTTTGTTTCTTGATATTTTGGTTGCCGAGGATTTTTTGCTCCTTTCTTCTTTAGTCCTATTTTCACATCAGTAAGGAAGTTGGTGTGTAGTTATACATACCTACCTTTTTTCATATAGCTTGGTTGTGCTCTTAAAACAAGCCAGCTGAATCATCCCTTTTTATGGTTCAATTAAGGGGAAAAGGGAGGGATTTATAAATCTACACATCCCCTATAAATTTGTATTATTTTAAGCAAACCAATCAAGAACCCCATCCTTATTCTTATTTTTATTTTTCCTAGTGAGCATTACATTATAGAGGTGCAGCTTCCAGCAAAGATGTTTGAGCTCCTGCCACAAGAGATTAAAGAAGGGAAGCTGCTCCACATGTACCCGGTGCTCTTTAATGTTGGAATCAATGAACAGCAAACATTGGCAGAGAGGTAAGGAAAAGCCATGTTTCATTTTCTGTCCAAGTACTCCATTCTGGTACAGGCTATCTCTCAAGATTAGAAATAAATCTTTTCTGTTATTTGCTCTTGGACCGTCTCACATTGACTCAGTGTGTATTTTAAAAGGTATTAAAGGAAATAAACACAAGCTATGAAGCAATGCAGAGCAATGAAAAATCCAAGTGGAGAYAGGACCTTCAGAGCTTCATTTTACACAGTTAGTGCCAAGTTTCTCTTGGAYACAGATGAAAAATGGATTTTTATTTCACTGATGCAGACTTTTGTTTGTATGTAGTACTTTGAAGTTCTCAAACAACAGTTTGAAAATTCAAAATTCTTACATTTTAAAGGTGGGGTTGAAGACCCTRGACAAGTAATAAGCTAGTTAAATTTTCTCAGCTTTTTTTCTGGGGTTGTGGAGTAGTAGTTTATAATAGGGAATGCACTGKCAATRTGTTGTAGAAATATGAAGGCTRATGTTAAAGTTCTGATGTGTTATTRCTCCTCTGCAACAGCTTGCTGAAAACTAATTAATTAGTACAATAATAGTYAAAGTTTCACCAACCTATTGATTTTCTCTTCCAAGAGAAGGGTATCTGTTGCTCATGTTAAATTACCACATTTGTGCAGTGCTAAAACTGCAAGGTAGAATTCAAGATGTCAACACAGCTACTTTTTTTTAACCTTTTTTTTTTGGAGCTGGTTTTATTAATAAAGCATCCAAAATACATTGTATTAGATTGCATTCACTATAAGCTCAAAAACAAAAGTGTAGCTGGAGAAATAGAGAGAGAGTGAAAATCCTTAATTGGGACAATAGRCAATAAGTTAAACAGCACAGGAGTTTCTCCTCCTGCTCTTTGTAGAGAGCCAAGTAAAATCAGTCTTGTAAGGAATGTTATCAGTAGCTTTGTGGATGTTTATGGGAGAGTTTTCCACATTGAGTGGTGATATGTGAGAAAAAAAMCTGTCATTTTACTGGTGAAAGAATTGGGTAGTTGGTTGGAGAATTTGGGAACTCCTTGAAAATGAGAATAGGTTATTCTTGATGCCATAAAGAAGAGGCAAGTGCCAAAAGGAGTAACATGGCCAAAGTGATAATGTACAAAAGCAATAAAATCAGTCATGACAATTGTGATGGAACACATCTCATTTTCTAAAATAAGAGATCAGGCAGTATGTGGGAACCAAGCAGGAAGTTGGTGAGAGTTTACTTGGGTGGGATGGGCAGGAAGGATTGAGCATTACAAATGTTATGAAGAAAGCTTTGGCAAGGTTTAGAAACAGCCTGGTTATCTGGGGACTTGTAGAGGAGTTGGTGTGACAAGATGCCTGGCTTGCAGGTGAAATGGCAGCAAGTATTGCTCACAGTGGGCATTCTGCACTGTCTGCAAAGAAAGCCATGAATGAAAAAATAATACCCACATATCTATGAATATGGATCTGTATTCATATCTATGAAGCAAATTGATTCGATGCAGTTTTCGGCACACACTTACAGTCTGATTTTGTCTTAATTCAAAAGATTGCTTAACCCCTAAAGCTGCACATTTGTTTTTGAGACTGAAAACACTGCATGTGGTTTTTGGTGAAAAAAGTGTGTGTTTWTGTGAGATAAAGAACATGAGAATAGAAATACATTTTTGTGGTAAATTTCTAGGAYATGTTACTTTATTAGATGAAAACATTTATCTTTTTTGGTTTTTGATAGAATACGCTTGTGAATATACCTGATTTAAAAAAAAAATTCTCATGTGACAATGCAGCAATGGCTACTGAGGAAGTGGCCGAGTCTTTTCCCTCTTTGACCCATTTAAATATTTGCTTCACTTCTGCATGTTGTAGTATTGTATTTGGTATCTTCTGATTTTTGTTGCCTTTTCTCTACCTCAATTTCTCACTTATCTGCCTMTGCCTCTCTTCCTGTCCTCCTCCATCTCCATTTCAAGGCTATTCTAAAGTTGAATTGCAAAAACATGGTCCTAACTGCCCAGGGGACATTCCTGTCTTTACACTCATATCTCTTATAGTACCATGTGAGCTACCATAAGATTTTTTTCTTTTTTGGTGTGTGAAACTTGGCTGTTGTAGAAATCTTGGTCTCAGAGAGAAAGATATTAGTTTATATAGCTATAGTTAGTTGGTAGTTGAGCTTCTCTTCCATCTTGTGTCAYTTCAATATTGTACAGCTCTGGTAGAAATTAATACATTGAAGCAAGAGCAGCAGTAAGAGGTGGAGGAATTGGTGTTCTCTGACAATGTTCCCATTTAGAATTCCCCCAAAGTGCTTTTTCATTTTTTTCAGGATTTGTGAAGGCAAAAGGAATAAATGCCTTAATGCATGTTTGTAAATGGATTACTTTGTTAATAAATTTTTGGAAGAGTTATCCATGAGTGATGATCTTGTTTCCATAAATTAGTTCCAAAGCACACAAGAACTAAACAACTGCATGTTTGACAAAATGTAATACATTCAGCACTATAAAACAAGTAATATAAAATCAAAGTTATTTCCTTATTCTGAAGGATAATTTATCTTTGTTTTGGTTTGTGGGTTTTGGGGATTTTTTTTCCTAATTTATTGTGTATTTTYGTAGGTTTGGAGATACCACTTTGCAGGAAAACATTAACCAGGAAAACTTAGAACTTCTCAAAGAATATTACAAGTTATTTACGGAAAAAATGCCACCTGATTGTGAGTACAAATAAATGCAATATCCAGATGGCTTTGAAAAGCTTTGATGGGTGAAAGATTATATGACAGTAATATTAACACAACTCCATAACTTGTCTCATGAATTTAAGCATTTTGTATTTGTGCACAGCCCTGCTGAGGTCCAGAGGGATTTCAGGCCCAATGCCATAGCAGAAACTACAGGAAGAATGAAGCAGAGTAATGATGAACTGAACAGCTATTTTAAGTTATTAAAATAATAACTGTTTTAATATTTCAAGTAGAGGACAGTCTGTATCTACTGAATATGTACAGAAAGTCTCRGTGGGAAATTTCATCAGTTTCAGTCATTCCCTCTATTCTTATTCTGAAAATGTATTGGGGTTTGGTGAACAACTGAGAGATCTGCAGATGTAAATACAAGCAATGAGCCACATCATCATGATATGAATAACAAGGTTTCATTAGAATAGGCCCTGTATTCCAATTTTATAGAAATTTGGTATCATAAACATAAACATTACTATGCTGTTACTCTGATTGTTGAAAGCAAGGACTGAAAAGACAATTTGCATCCATCTAATCCTGTTAAAGTAGTTTTAATGCCTGAACTATAGTCCCAAATGTTGCAGATTTWACAGCCTGATTTTTAAATCCTCTGTAAAGTTTTGATATGTCATTGTGTATCTTTTGTATCAGGATGATTTTAATTTGTTAATAATTTTGACAGAAATGAAAGCTCTGTTCCTAAACAGTGGGCAGGACGCCCATCTATTCACCCACAAACCCAGCATTTCTAGGATTTCTACAGTGAAACTCCTACAGCAAGCTGGGTAATTAATTCAGGGGAATCTTGCCAAGAAAATATCCTCGAAAAACTAGCCTCATCCAGGCTTAGGTTTGAGGTAGATCTGCTGCCTTGTAAATAGATTTGATTATATAAAAGCAAAAATTTGCATGCAGATAGTATTGGCTGCTTTTCATTAACAGAATTTAAACTTGTACTGCCTTCCTGAAGGATAATTAGTGGGCCACACAGTTCCTGGACTTCTTCCAGACTGTGCAGGTTTTGGAGAATTAATTTTGTCTATTTCATCCTGTCTTTTCTGGTTGTTGTAATCTTGCTTTTTTTCTCTACCTATAAGATCTGAGTCTCTTATTTATACAAATTCTTATGGAACACAAAGCACCTGTTGGTTCCATTGCCCTTCCCAGTAGCTCCCTGCCATTATATGGAATCACCCTTTTGCCTTGAAGGGATGCACCCTTTAAACCAACCCCCTGGGAAAAAAAAAAAAAAAAATGAAGATCCCAAACTAGTTCATTTGGGGGAGGAATTTTATCCCTCCCCTGTTCCCCCACCTCTGGAAGACAAAWGTCCATATGAGGCTGGCAGCAGCCCTGGTGCTGCAGCCAAGTGAGAGCTCAGTATTGGTGGCTGTTTGATGGCTTTGTCTCACCTTTTCAGAGTTTCCTGTGTGCCAAATCTGTGCTACAAAATAAATGCAGGACCCTGTTCCCAAAGCCATTAGCTTTGAATAGTGCTCATGAATCCCTACAGAATTTGGGGACTCACTGCTCTGTTTGCCAGGCTGGTGCTCCCACCCTTGGCAGCCTTCTTTGCTTCTTCCACTTCATTCATATCTTCCCTTCCAAAGAATTTTCCACTCCCAGAAAGGTATTGCCCCCTTTGTATTAGTGTTCATCTCATGTTTGTATTTCCTCTTGTCAAGAACATTCTTGCTTGTAGCTAAGCAAACACTGGCTTTCTGTCTTTTAGATGAACATCTACTCTTGTCATCTACCTATTTCTTAATCCCTTTAATTCTTTTATTGGAAATTGCGAATAAGAGTGTGTTCTTAGAAAGATTCCTACCAAAACCACCGACCAAATACAGGTCTGGTTTAGGCACCAAAATGGTACTGGTTTTATAAGAAAAGCTAAGGACAGTAAGGGCCCAAAAATGTAATATTTTCTCAGTAGTCCACAATTAACTGAAAACAACAGCTACGAGGTGTTTGGTACTTCCAGGCTTCTGCCCTTATAACCTATGAGCCTGATTTGATGGTTTAATACTCTTTGAGCAATTGATCATTTCTAATCAAGGTGCAGCTCATTTGGCAGTATTATAAATGAGGAGACTCTTGCTTTACATGCAGTGAAGTCACCTCTCYGAGATGTTGCATTTTCTGCTGTGAACCAAAGGAAAGCTGCCTGGAAGCAGTGAAATGTTGAATGACACATTTGCATAATCTCGAAGCATCTTTGTCATTGTGTGCTTTGTGTTTTAAAGAAACAGATGCAGCCATAATTGTAATAGTCTAGCAGATTGTGATGTGGKTTTGTGTGCTCTGCATTATCTAAGTGTGTAATCAGGGTTTGTAATACACAGTTAAAACAATCCACATAAAGATTATTGCAAAACTAGTTTGGGTGTACTTTTTGCCTCTTTTATTTTTTTAATTTATTTTGGGATTTAGTTTGGCAATGCAATATGACTAAAGCAACTTAGGCATTTTTGCAATAGTTCTTTTTGAGTATATTTTAATTATTTCTTACTATAAATCATGGATATGGTAAACCACAGAATTTATTAGATGTAAAAGGTTAAAAACTTGTTGATAAGAGAGATCATTCTGGCTTTGATCAAGTCAGGAGAATGGATATTGACCTTCATTAAKAGTTACCTCATTTTTTTTTCTTTCACATGGGTATAAATCTTTGTGCTTGAGTTGGTTTTTTCCCCCACTGGATGAACAACATACTTTTTCTTCTTGAAGAAACTGTATCCATTTATCAATTTAGTRTCACTTTGTTTCAGTTGTTTCTGAGACTTTTTTTGGTAATAACTACAATTATATATCTTTTTACTTCACCACCATTATTCAAGGAATAATTTCAGAAAATTATTGTTTCTACTGATTTTCAAAACTAGTGWAGATAAAGTTAACATTAGGAAAAACTCTGCAATATACATATGAAACAGAGGAGGAAATTAAATTGCCTGCTCTTGAATTCTTGCTCAAGATGTAGCATAAATAAGCGCTCAGATGCCATATCCAGAACAAGCAGGTAAAATTTTGGATTTTAAGTAAAACTGAAATTATTTTCTACTTGAAAATAAAACCCCATTTAATTTCAGACTGAGAAATACCCTTTCTTACCCTTTGGAGGGGATGCTTAGTGCTGTTTGACCTCTGGGTTAAGTTATATAAGAAACTAAAGCATCATTTCAGAACAAAAATGAGATATTTCATTTTGAAAACAAAACCAATTCTCTTTATTTTGAAATMAAAAAAAMCATCCRATCAAAGCAGGTTTTAATACACTCWGTTTTTTCTGTTCTGATTTCCRYTGAATGTCTGAAACAGMTGATGAGCAGAACTACAGCAGAGATTTRATTTTGTTTTTCACCATCCATTTATAAGACAATGGTTGAAGACAATTCCATTTTCCACATGAAGATCTTAGGGAGAACAACCCAATACTCGTAACACATAAGGTTACTTATTCCCTAAATGTTTAGATGGTAATTTCCATCCTGTGCTCCCAAAMAAGGCTGTTAACAATAGACCTGTTCTTTATTATGGGCATTCTTTGGCCAGGACACCAGACTCAGTGTAATGAGCAATCTTGTCATCCTTTTTCTCCAGGTCTACCACATTTTCAAGAACAAAATGATTTAAAGGGATTGCTAGAAAATCTTCATCAAAATATCCAGGCCAAAAAGAGAAAGAATGTAGAAATCATGTGGCTGGCTGCGACGGTAAGCTCTCTTGTTGCAAAGAAATTGATGAACTAATGATGAACTRATTTTCATAAGCCTGCTGATATTTTAAGTGCAATGGATTTTAAGGCTGTGGGGGAGCTCACTGGTTAAAGCAGGCAGATGTGCTGGGATGTTTTCTAACCTAAACTATTCTCAGAGTCACTCATTCCACTCATGATTGYATCTCCTCTTCCTCCACTTAAATTACAGACATTTTCTTTTCCTCACTTTTTAAACTGGTAGGACCTGCTAGAATTCGAGCTATTTGATTCATATCCACTCTTTGATAATAGAAAATTATTAAGTTTTTTTTTTCGTGTCCATGAGCCTTGACATGATTGCTTGCTCTGGGTTTTGTTTACTATTCCTGCATTCAACTTTTGATTCTTTGTAATTAAATTACTTTCATAAATAAGTGTTGCAAAAGGCATACAGAGGACAGACAATCAGACACATGGAGAGCACAAAGAAAATTGTTTATCAAATAGTGCTTAATACTTTGCTTTAATCCCATAATTCCTTTCTGTTCCCCAGTTCTGTGGGGTTTGCACATACATATTTTAAAAAAGGCCAAAAAGCCCAACTCTCAGATAYTTACAGAGCTCAGGAGTGTGAAATTCATCTAGGTAGATGTCTTATATTTAGAAATGTACCCTTGGTATATCTGCCTCTTTATACCAACAGGGAATTTTTGTATCTACTGAATTTGAAGCAAGGCTTTGTGTTTTGGGAAACTTTCATATGTATATACCCTTCAAGACAAATAAWTATTTGATACAAAATTATTAATAACATTTTCCATTACTTTTTGTTAACACTAGGGAAAAKAAAATGTTAATTATGTCTTTGTATTAATAACACTGCTGTAACTTCCATATTACTAATAATATTTTCCATGTGGTGAATAATCACATGCTATTGCAGCATAAATCCTTTGTAAGTAAACATACAAGTTTTTCTTGCAGTACCACTCCAACGCTTACTATGAAATATTGCTTTGTAAAAAAGTATAAGATTTATCAGTACAGAATAGTATAAAATGAGCTACAAAGTATGTGACAGAATGTGCTTAGAAAGTTGTGTTTTACCWTCTATTTGGGGTTCCCTGAAAATCATTTCATGGGTAAAAACCATTCTTTGGACATAAAAAGAGTTTCAGGTTTTTTCTTCACTGAAATCTATTTCTCTTTAGGTTACCTTACTTTCACTTTTTGGAATGTCTATTTCTGCAACCACTGATCTACAGAGCATTATACCATGTTCTATTAATTTCTTGGGAAGGCTGTAGGAATGTTACTTTGTCAGTGCAGTAGCTGTGCAATATCCCTTTTTTTGCAGTAGGTGTATGAGATTGCACATATGTATCTGTGCCTGCATGTAATCCCTGATATAATGGGACTGTGAGAATAAATCTAATAAAAATTAAGTCTATTTCTTCTTCTCCTATACTTCCCTATATCAGAGCCCATCTCTTACCCAGAATAATTTCCTGGGTTTTTTATGACTTTCTTATGATTTTTTATTTTTTAAAATCCTTTTATAACTCGTTCATGTCAAATAGTCCCAATAACTCATGGACTTCCAAAGAGACTAGTGTAAAGAGAGTTAATGTCTTCAATTAAGCAGTTAACTTCTTTCACAACATTATTTAAAAAAATGATCAGCTAGTACTTTATTTAAATCCCAATGCAACTGTTCAAATTTTTAAACATATTTAACTTTTAAAATTTTGACTTATAGGATGGAAACAACACTCATAGTTTCTCCTTCACTACCCTGTATCTCCTTGGRTTCTAAGTTAGATTCAATTAATTGATTCTCTGAATTAAACCTCACCATGGTATCCCAAAGACCTTAAAGACTCTTAAGTACTTTCTGGGCCATTGACTTTAATGGAATTTCTGAGAATGCAATTAGCAGAAGAAGAAATGCTTATTTGATGCAGTGACATTGTAGAGATCATGTTCCAGTTTCATCCTGCAAGCTCTCCCATGATAGCCAAGGTGGGAAGTTCCTTTGGATGACTACTGCTCTAATTTATTGCCCTGCCCCATTCTCATAAACATTTTGGGGTTTGATACTGTTATATCCATGATTTTCCAGGGATAGGAGCAAGCAAAGCAAAGTATTACTTCTTCTCAGGACTAATTATATCTGGGGGAAGGCAGACTCACACTTGGGCACAGCAGCTCTCCTTCAAATTTTTCTTTTTCTAGAAAATATTGTTTGRACCCAAAGTATAAATGAAGGGACTGGTGCAACCACAGATTGATTCGTAAGGGGAGAAATTATCCTAAAAAATGTCATGTTTCCCTTGTGCCTCATAACTTTGTCAAAGTATACAGTGAAAGTAGACAATCCAGTTCRTGTTAAGCTTTATTAATTCTGGGTCACATGTTGAAGAGTTTAGCTGTTGTAAACAAAATCTATTTAAGTTCAGATGTGTCTGAATCCATACCTTCACAAGGAGTTARTCTGCTGCATTCATGTTTGTGAGTKAGGATTTATCAAGGTTTTCCTTTGTTCATTAGGTGAATTAATTAATCAATTAATCTTTGCTAGAATACGGTGGTCATCAGAGAAAGTGAGGAAACAGCAGTGTTTCTTTTATAGCCTAGGCTAACAAAATTCCTTTCTATTTCAAGCTCAGGAAATTGGATATATCAGTGCTAACTTTTAGTAGGTGTCTTCTTCTTGGGAAGTACTGCAGCCCTCTGCTGCATTTTCTGGGCTGGCAGAGCTCTGCCTGCCGGGAGAGGGACCAACCCCAGGGCCTCCTTGTGTTGCAGATTTGCCGGAAGCTGAACGGAGTGCGCTTCACCTGCTGCAAAAGTGCCAAAGACAGGACATCCATGTCAGTGACACTGGAGCAGTGCTCCATCCTGAGGGACGAGCACCAGCTGCACAAGGATTTCTTCATCCGGGCACTGGATTGCATGAGAAGGTACGTGGGGCTCCATGGGCTTTGAGCAGAGCCAGGAGCTACAGTCACAGGGTCTAAAGCTGGTTTTAAACTCCCAGCAGAGCCCAGGCCTGGCTGAGCACAGGTTCACAATTTGTAAGTCATTCTTGAGTGCAGGGGCTTTGCAGCTGTGGGTTCCATCAGTAGTTAAAAGTTTCTGAGATAGGTGAAACCTTGAAGAACCTTGTGAAACCTTGAAGYATCAGCTCACTGACTGCAGAATCTGAGCAGCAGTTTGAACAGCAGTTACTTTAAAAATTGTTATATTTCAGTTTTGAGGGCATTTTTTAAAACSTTCACACAGTCAGTAAATAATTTGTATAAAGATATATAATATATATAATATTATATATTTATGCAAATACTGTGAAAGCAAAAGAAGCATTTGTTACAGATGGCAATTCTTGCTAGTTTGCATTATTGAGAAGAGACATCCAAGTAGGTTTGGACTGATGGTGGTTGCCATTAATATCTGATAAAATCTTTACTGTGCTTTTAAAAAAGTTAATTAAAACATGTTTTATTCTAAATTGCAACTATGCAGAAATTGAGGCTGATATTATCATGAATGTAACTAAAGGATGTAAAGATTTCTCATTACCTGAGTCTTTGATGAAAACATAAACCTCACTGAGCAAACAAGTTTTGATGATAAAATTTATCCAGATGCTAGATTGTCTGCAGAAACTTTCATCATTTGTTTTAATCATATCATAATATTTCTATAGGAGTTTTAAAAAAWTGTATCCACAGCACTAGAATAATATATACCAAAGGTCACTGCAAAACTAATAGAAAATATTTTGGTCAGCCTGCAAAGAAGYAACTGAATTGTGTCTTGGACTTTTGTGAAACACAAATCGTTTGTATGGTAAATTTGCAAAGGTCACATACTAAGTAAACAATCATGTTTACAGTCTGTAATGGATAATTCTGGGCCTTAATATTTATTATTGCCAAAATAGGTGTTTAAKGCCTAGATTAATACTGTAATTTTCCCACATAATGCCCTTTTGGCAAAGACAGCTGTTCTGAAGAAAAAATGCAATAGTATGAAGAGTAAATGAGCAGAGATGGCTCAGTTGTAGGTTTGGCTCACAAGGCACTGCTAATGCAGTGAGAGATGGTGAACTGAGCTGAGCTGTGTTGTTTTGTGTGTATTGTTCCCTTGCACAAACCCCTCAGTCTCTGCAGKAATTCAGTGAGTGAATGACTTGTATGCAGTCCTTCATAACTACATGTTTTATCATTAATGAATTCTGAGTTTTCTGTGTTCAATTTCATTGTGTTTTCATTTCAAATGCTTTTTTTTTTCTGTAATGTCTCCAATAAATACAAAAGTTTCCAAGCTACAGTTAATTACCACACAGAGGAAAATAAATTTATTATATAAAATCATCATAATGTTAGAGTAGCAGTGAGAAGTGTATTGGAACATTTTTGCAGATATAAACAGAATTTAAAAAAAAAAAAAAACCCAAACTTATCATGAAAATCTGGTAGGTTTTTGCAGACCAAAATATTRGTGGTTCTGAGGGTGTTTTTATCACATGACTGATTTGAAAGTTGAGAAGATTAACACATCAGTTRTATTTGCAGGTAACAGTAATTTGAAGTCACAAAAGAATGGTAAAAACCAAAAAAAAAACCTGAAGAATACTTAAAAATTAAATTAGATAGGTATATGAAGTTGAAGTACCATTACAAAAATGTAAAACTATCACTTATGCTGTAGTTTTACACAGAAAAAAAGCTTTATCCTGCTCTTACCCTGTAAATCAATTTCAAACTTGAACTAAAGTAGATGAAATGTGTGTTGGATGGAAGACAGTAATTTTGATTCAGGTGGTAAGATTGTCTGGGTATTAAAGAATAAAAAAGTATTAAACTTGAGTAATAAAGGTTTTGCAAATATTGGCACTAGCATACAAAATAAATTGCTCTGTCACAACAATAAATAAATAAATCTCTTAGCTAGGCTTAGCTGCCATCAGTCTAACCCTGTTCATATAACTGGAAGTTTAGAAATAAAATTTAAAAAAAAAAAAAAGAGCAGCCAAATTACTCTTTCTTCCTTATGAGCTGGTCAATGAAAACCCAAAAATTCAGAAAAGAAGAGTAAAAATGCCAAAAGGCGGCATAGTACTTAACTCCTTGGTGGTCCCATTGAGAGTTGGTCTGACAGTTTAAGAGCTCTCTTTGGGTGGGGTTTTTTGTATCTTTGGTCCATCAGACATTCAGTGGGGACTGCTTCTTCTCACTYCCACTGCTGGAGTGCCTCTGGAGCACTGTTGGAAGGGACACAGGGACAATGGGGACAACAGGGACACAGCAGCACTGTCTGGGTGGCCTGACAGGGACTGTCCCACTGGGCAGTGCTCCTGTCAGCAATTGGGGAAAGGTGAATTGTGGAGAAAGGCAATTTGAGACAGCAGACTGGGAAGGAAAGAGCAGACAGGCAAAGGAGAAGAGAAGAAAACCTTAATTTCCACAGGTGTTTCAGCTGAATGTCCTGTATTTCATGAGGGGGAAKGTTGTGCGAATGAGATCAACAGACTTGTTTGGCACTTGTCCTTTTGTAGTTTCTTTTTATTTGATTACTTTTGCAGACTGTTAGTTGCAAGATAATGCTGTGCATTTCTGAACTTTTCATTAGCTACCTTTAGAAGCTTTTACAATGATTTTCACATCTAAAAGAACCTATTTTGTTTCAAGGGCAGAGAGAGAAAAACTATTTGCCRTTTAATTTGCAATTTTAGCAGTTTTTCCCCAATGAATCTTCTCCAGATCACTTKGTTAAACTTTGTCAATCAAACTCCTTTATGCTGATTGCCACAAATTGCTTTTAAGCCTTTCAAAAGAACAAGTAGACAAGAAAAATTCAATTTTAACATCCAAAATCCTAACAGATTGGATTGATCTTTGAAAGGCTTCTTTCAAGAGTTAACAGTAGGAGATAGAGACTACTGTGAAACTAAGTGAGTTGTAGAAGTAAATGGTGATTCAAAAGCAGCCTTTATTGGAAATGCCATCATTTTGAGATATGAAAATTATAAAGGTGCCTGTGTAGCTGTGAGGCTTTTTCTTTTCCTGCCAGTGMTGACACAGCTTTGCTGACTGTTGGAAAAGGGAAACGTGTGCTTACAAGTTCATGCTTTCTTGCCACCAGAAGTTTGGAGGTGCTGGATTTCTTTGTGCTGCTGTTTTCCAGTTTCTTTGGGGTCCCCAGAATTCTGAGCAATCTGGAAGCAATTCCCCACATTTCAGTGCATTTGCTTCAGTGTACATTGCACAACCCTTTTTTGGAAAACACTGCCAGTAGCTGTTTTTTATGACTCATTTTGTAAGTTGAATCATTTTCTTGCAGTGATAAACTATACAATGTTTATTGCTTCTTTATTAAAAAAAAAAAAAAAAAAAAAAAAAAAATTTTTTTTTTAAAAAAAAAAAAAAAAAAAAAAAAAAAGTGGCTGTACAAGGATCCTTCTATTAGGTCTTTCTTTAACTTATGAAAAATGTGGTGAATGAAGCAATGATGGAAAAGCAAGGTTTATCATTTACCATATGTAATAGATGGTTTTGTCTTCAGTCATAAGTCTGGCCATTATGATGCTGCAATTGGTGTGTACCTGAAGCAGCCACTCTATAAATAATTCCACATATTGTAATTTCCTTGATATAGGTATTTGACTTCCATTGATCTCAGTGACATGCAGAGGGCAGAAAGAGGAAAATCAATATATCATCCTCTCTGTATTGAGTGCTTGCAATTCACATCATATTAAAATACTGTTTATAATGTCGCTGCCACTTTCAAATCATTTTTTGAAGGCATCAATATTCTTATTTTCCCTTTCACCAATATATGAATGTTTCCTATCATTCATTGTTAACTCTATTCCAAGAGACAATAGAGACACAAAACTGATTTATCTGAGTTCATTGCAGTATCTGTCAGATGATTTTACTTTTTTTCATTAGAGCTGCTCACTGTTAAGGGGTGATGCACCCTGGTAGGCAGCATATAATGAAGTAGTTTTGTAATAAAAAAAAAAAAATCTTTTTTTTCCTTTTTAAAAACATTTATTTTCTGAACCTATTTAGCTTTAATGATTGAGCGACAGAGTCCCTTTTGGAGGCCATGGGTAGTGAGGAGCCTCAGAATCTCCTGTCTTTGAGCATGTTTCAAAAAAAAAGTTTCAAAAGTTGTAACAAACAAATGGAATGACAAATCCACCRTCTATGGTCAATTCCCTATGCTGTCAGCCTTGTCATCATTCTTAGCAGKCACAAAACCTGTCACATATTTCTGACACTGAATACAAAATTCGACTCAATGTGGGACACACTCTTTCCACCTGAAAYAGCAGTTGAGGGTATTTCAGGGTATTTTAGATAAATTGCCTATCAAAAGTCTGATTGAAGCACAAGTGCAAGGAATGAATRATCTGGTTAACGRGTRTGGGGCTTTTGATGGGGCAGTTATRGAGAAAATATCTCCTTTTCTAAAGAGCTGTTTGAGGGCACTGTTTCTTAAAGATTTCTTAAAGTTGAGGAGGAGGAGTAGCTGCAATATTTCTTTATTCAGGGACTTGCAGATGTTCTGGGTGCTGAGATGGACCTTGGCCAGGGAAGATCCTGTACCAAACACCAGAGCTGTGATTGCCACATGGAGCRGGACGCAGGAGCAAAGGGACAGGATTAGAGACAGGAATGATCCATGTGCCAATCTCTCTGTGCCTTTCTCGCATCTCCCAGCTTTCACCCTGCCCCTGTGGGCTTGTGCCAAGAGATGCAGCACCTGAGGGGCCACACAGAAGAGGAGGCACAAGTTCCCCTCTAACCTTTCCTTTTTCCCAGCCCACCTGACCTTCTCCACCTTTTTTTTTTTTTCTTCTAAGAGTATTGGCACAGTGTGAACAAAACTTAAAAGGAGAGCCTGATTTCCAATATAGATTTTAACATCATTCTATGGCTCTTAA